GGGGGGGGGGGAAGAAAAGGGTAGAAAACCCCAAAATCGAAAAGAAGAGTGATATAAACAGAGGCCGTAGACTGTCTTTCGTGCACACACTTCGTCCGAAAACCTTCCATGTACATCCGCATGCCCTATGATGCTCAGAAGACGCGCTCATTGAGGTTGGCCACCAGAAAAAAAAAAAAAAAAAAGTGATTCCAGATACTTCCACGTACATCCGCACGTATCGGCCAGACAGTAGCAACCAGGGGCGTGGTCCCACTTGCAAAGAGGGTCGGATCGAATGCCTGAATCTGGACGACGTTATGGAGATGTGCAGGAAATCGAGATTGAACTGCTTTTCTGCATCTCTGCATAAAACACGTCCACATTCAGGCATTCGATCCGATCGTCTTTGCTAATGGGACCTCGGCCCAGGGGGCTACTCCCAGATCGCAAAAGTGATTTTGAGGTTGGCCACCGAAAGAAAAAAAGAAAAAAAAAAAAAGAAAAAAACAGATAGCCGCAACCTGGAGGCTACTCTCAGATCGCAAAAGTGATTTTGAGGTTGGCCACCAGCAAAAAAAAAAAAGGAAAAAAAAAAAAAAAGGGACGAAGAAAAACAGCGTGAGAGAGAAGGAAGGGATTATTAAAGTTCTTTTTTTCATTTTTACTTCTCGCTTCCTCGCTTTTCTTTCTTGACGCCGCGGCTCTTCTCTTTTTTCTTCCGTTTTTCTTCTTCTTTCTTCCGTTTTTCTTCTTTTTTCTTCCCTTTTTCCTTTTTTTTCCTTCGTTTTTTCTTCGCTTTTTCTTCGTTTTTTCTTCTTTTTTTCTTCCCTTTTTTTCCTCACTTACATGGCAATTGAATATCGACGACGAAGGTTCCGCCCTCATAAGGGGTCCCGACGGGACCGACGATCGTTCCTCTCATCAAAGACAGCTCATCGCCGCACACAGACACGCTCACGCCTGAGAGCACTTTGTCCTTTTCGATTTCCACAAGCTCCTTCTGCACACGAGACACGTCCAGCTGCATGATGACGTATCACACTCACCTCTCTCTCTCTCTCTCTCTCTCTCTCTCTCTCTCTCTCTCTCTCTCTCTCTCTCTCTGTGTGTGTGTGTGTGTGTGTGTGTGTATCTATCTATCTATCTTTCTATCTCGCTCCCTCTGTGTGCGCGGGGTTATAGAGAGTCTTCCTTGTGTCTATCTAAACGTATGAACGCCTATATATACATGTACCTCAGAATTTATCTAATGTATATTCCCTCACCTATAAAGTGTGATTGATTGCTATGTTCGATTCTCTCGCCAAATACTTCCCGCCAACTCACTTCCCGCCAACCGATCGACTATCACTTGCAACAAATGAGGAACGATCTTCAGAAATCTGATCTTGCCGCCAAATCACGCTCCGTTGTGAGGAAGCCGGTTCTCTGCAGAAGGATAGAGATCAGATGCCTAATCGGGTAAAGATTAGATTCCTAATCAGGTAAAGATTGGATTTCCGATCGGATAAGATGCCTAATGCGGAAAAAAAATTCGAAGTCTGCAGCCGGTTTTTGGAAGCGGGAAAGAGAAAGAGAACAAAAAACGACACCAACTGCTGACTCACCCGCCGCCTCCAGTTCTCCCTCCTCCCTCCTCCCTGCCTCCCTCCCTGCCTCCCTCCCTGCCTCCCTCCCTCCCTTCCCCCCGGCCCCCGCTCTCTCCCTCCCTATTCTCCCCTGAACTTCCGCGCGCCCCTGAAATACCGTTAGATCATAACGCGATCGAGTACTCTCTCGGCACAAAACGACAAAAAACGGGGGAAGACGAAGGAGGGAGAGACCGTTCCGTTGAAAAAAAAAAAAAAAAAAAGGTTAGTTCATCGAAGATTCACACAAAAAAAAACTCATCAATGCCTACTGCTACTGCCAGATCCAATCTAGCGGCCATCCATCTGTCTAATCTGTTAAGCCAACAAAACGACAAAAACTAGGAGATTACCAAGAACAGAGAACAAAAGAAGAGACACAGCGGAACGGAACAGAACAACAAAAAGGAAAAGAAGTCATCCTCAATTTTCGAGAACGAAAGAAAGAACGAGGGAAAAAAAAAACAGAAAGAAAAAGGAATTCACTCAACAACCCTTCGATTATCTTGCGTTGTCCTCAGAAAACGACAAAAAAAAAAACAAGAGAAAGTCGTTCGCACGGACCCTTGTCCAGAACGAAATCCACGTCAGCAACACCTACGAGGACAAAGCCCTCCAC